TAGATTTAGATCAGATATAAGGAAGAAATTCTCTACTGCAAGGTTGGTGAGACACTGGCACAGGTTGCCCAGAGCAGCTGTGGCTGCCCCCTCCCTGGCAGTGTTCCAGGCCAGGTTGGACGGGGCTGTGAGCAACCTGGGCTAGTGGAAGGTGTCCCTGCCCATGGCAGGGGGGTGGGAACTGGATGATCTTTGAGGTCCCCTCCAACCCGAACCATTCTATGAATTCAAAATTATTGTATTTTGTGGCAAATCCAATAATCAGAAACAGCCTAAATTAAACATGAAAAACTCCAATAAAATGAACGGAAAGAAACCTTTGCATATTATTCATAGATTGGCTTGGGTACAAGGTACATATTAAAATTGTCGGTAGCAAGTATAAGTGACTGTAGGCCTGCATAAGAGAAAAATCTCTGTAAGAAACTTTTCTGGCAAAACTTGGATCCCTAAAGGCCTGAGAAGCTAAGTGAGCCTTCAGGACAGCTTCATGGGACCCATATGCATAAATCCTGCACCTGAATCCCATTTTATACACTTAAGTCTTCGGTGGACTGTAGCAACGCAGACCACAAATAATTATTATTTATAACTTGACACAAAAAAATTGCACAAGACCTAATTCCTTTTCACTACAATGTTATCACCTTAGGCACAGCCATGTTGCTTTGTTTTCAGGGAAGAGGTGGAGATTAAACCCCAGTCTGAACTGCCTACCACCCTCCATGAGAAAGTATCCTAGTGATAAATGCAACAGTTCTATAGAAAAACTGTCCATTTTCTGTGATACTAACTACTGGATATAATTCATTTGACAAAAGCAGGTCTACAACCAGTACAAGTTCTGTTCAAACCTATCTTGAGTACATGCTTATGAAAAAACAGTGGTTCATGGAATACAGGTGCAGTGTTATAAAAATACACAGGCTACAAACAGCTGTGCCACAGCAATCCAAAAAAAATCTCCAAAATGCTTCTCTCTGTAAAGCTGGCAAAAAAACCACCCAGAAACACTTCTAATTAACAGAGAAAATTTTTTTTCGTTTCTAAAAAATTTTCACACTGGCAATAATGGAAAACAGTCTTCTGTGACTCTTAAGAGTGTATTTAAGTTTTTCTTAACAAATAGATACCGGGTTAGATAAAGGTCAATCTAGGCTGGTATCCCAGCTACAGGAATACATGCATGGGGAGACATTTAAGAAGCAGGAAAGTACAAAGTAATCAATCCTCCGCTGTAGCTTCCCAGTGTTCAACCACTTGCAGTTTGGGGGACTTTCTAAGCCAGATGCTTCTGGTGCATTGTGAAGCTCTCCTCCATCAGTCTGTCATTTTGAACCTGCCTGAACCCATTTACATTTCTGACTGTCACAGCTTTCTGTGGCTAAGTGTAGATTTAATCACATGCTGCATTAGAAAATACTTTCATTTATTTTAAATCTACTGCAATATATAACTATCACGGGGTTTCCCCTGCTTCACTTTCTGTGAATATCTGTTCCCTGTTTCTCCTCTCCACAGTGTTTGGAAATTTACATACATTAAAATATCACCCGCCAGTTACCTTTTTCCAGACCAGCCTGATGGATTTCTCATTTTGTGGCAGTCGTTCCATGGCTAGGCATGTCATTCTTGCCCTTGCTCTATACCTTTTTAGGCTCTACTGTAGTCTTTAATGTATTCTCTACCTAAGTATTTTCCTCCTTTTCTAGGATACTTATGAATATGCCAAAGAATGCAGTTGTGGTTAAAAAAAAAATCACCACTGGGCTACCAACTAATTAATCAGCTTTAATGAATCTTAATTTACAACTATGACTATGTAAGTAACAAGTATCTAAATATAAGCTTTCCCAGGAAAACGCTGAGTTACTGGAGAATCACTACAGTCCTGAAAAACTCTACTGTCTTCTGAAAAAAAAGTCTTAAATAGTTATTTTGCATAGACAGGTGTATCATGTATTTAAAACACTGAAATTCTGTCACTGCACTTCAGAGCACAACCTGAGAAAAACTAAGCCTCATTCTTTTTTATTGTAAGTTTGGGGGTTTTTTAAACTAAAAATGTCACTAGGATAAATAAAACTTCTTGAAACAAGACAGCTGGCTATCTTGATACACTTCCACTGATGAATTCAATTGCAAACCCCTAATCCTTGCAGTTCTTAGACTAGTAGTATATGACAGGCAAGGAGAGCTCAACTGGCTTTCAAAGGAAAAAAAAAAATCTGTGCATGGAACAGAGGCAAAAAGTCTCTGGAAGAACTTCACTGAAAGGTCTCATAGCTCTACTGCGACTGAAGTTAAAGACTGACTCTGCAGTTCCTACTTCAAGTTCATGTCATGGGCATATTCTGCTGTTACTAGCATAATACCGAGCTGTGTTATCTGCTCCAGCATCTTGACACAAAGATCCAGGAAGAAAAAAACCACACAGTCCCAGAAGTTTGTATTGCATGCAAACAAAGCAGAGAGAGAAACCTGATAAGAACTGACAGGGAAATATTTTGGTAAAAAGTTACAAAATATTTCAGTAGGCATTACATAACAAATTACACAGCCTTCCTATCCGTTTATTTAAATGCTTGTATGTGGCAATGTCAGAAGGAACATGCCAGAAGGAAAACAACATCAGTCAACTCTGTTTAGAATCCCACACAAGAAGGCTTCTAAACCATTACATGTAAAGAAGAAAACCAGTTCTTTGAGCACTGTCTTCTGTTCTCCTGAACTAAAAGTGGTTGCACTTAACATTTTATTTGCCCACAACTGGCCCTGGATTATGCACAAGACAAAAAAATAGGAAACACTTGGCAAATAATTTAGCCAATGCACGGTCCATCTTTGGGCTTCTTTGAAAATGGGTGAAATCCTGTGCACTCTTGCCCTGTCTCCATCTCCCAACCATTATACTCTGCTGACTGCAGGCTCCACATGGCAAAAACCCTTTCTTGCTCCAGTTCTATAGTAAGACCATTTACTTCTCCCTTGAATTAAAGAAAAAAAAAAAACAAAACACACACAAACCCCAAAACCCCAACAACTAGTGCACATACATTAGGGAAATTTTCTAAAGCACAAGAGTGGCTACAACTGCTTCTTATGAATGTGAATTCAAATTTACCTCACGCTACAAAGCTGTGAACATCAGCAAAGCAAAATGGGAATAAAAACATCCCAGCTACATTTTGTTCTTTTTATAAAATAAATGAGTTCTCTTGTTTCTGAAGCCAAATATAGAGCAATGAATGAACTGAAGATTATCTAGAAGGGTTCGTATTTTACTTGCTGTAGATGCCAAATGTAATTTGCTGCAGGAAAGGTTTTTGCAAGTCCCTGTTCAGCCCTTTATACTTCACAGTTATACTGTGGATGCCAAAACACTCCAATGTAAACAAGTCTGGCTTCCACTGGAATTGCACTCTCAGAGGCTAACCTTGAAACTTGTGAAGTTCTAAAAGATAGATGGGAAAAAAAAGTGCTGCTAAAAGTACTTTGATCAGCCAAATCTAAAGAATTTTAACTTTTTGCTTAATTCACCGAGACCACTCATGCTTAAAGTACACCTTTAAATAACTGGGAGAGAAATGGGAAAACAGGGCAAGACTGTTCAACTCATGCAGAATAAGAGCTTGCCCTTACCGTACAACTTCCTTTGCTTTCTTAAACCCCCTTTTTCAGCTGGTAAGATCAGCTTAAAGTGATGGAATACTATTCTGACTATAGATTTATATGAACATACAGACTTTTTAGAGTAAAATAAATATAACATTGTAAAATTAATTTCCCTGCAAAACATACAGTGCTTAAGAAGAACTCCTGCATGTTCATGTCCTGAAAAAACAGAAAAGGTAAAATAAATTTGGGGAGTTTTATCTTAACGTCCCCTAAAATTTGTGTTCAACATCTGATGAACATTTCCAGGACATCAGAAAGTCCTGGAAGATGCAGACAAATAAATTATTTCATTCCTATCCCACGTTAAAAGTATTTCCCATTCACTAGTATAATGCCAAAGGAAAACTGTGATTCAAAACACTTTTATACACCACTGAGACAGCCTTGTGGGAATATAAACATAATGCTCTGTATGGGGTCCCAACAGTACGCCTTAGACATGCATTGCCTGCCTATTCTCAAGTTCAGATACCCGCTATCAGACACAAACATGTTACCTAATTTAACAACCACATTTATGATGAATTATGGCATTTTTATTTCCATTTCTATCATAAGACCATTCCAGACCCTGACAATGATTGGAATAATTTTCTGGGTTCCAGACAGGATCTATGCATAGGCATCCTTTGTTCTGAAGGCAATGCTGTCCTAGAAATCAAATTCTTCCTCATACAGTGTTCAATCCATTGACCTTATCGGCCCATCCTAGCTGTCCTTTGCAGGTGCTAAGTTTGAATGCACCGTTCCTAAGCTCAGGAAGCTGAGTTTACCCAGTATTTCAGATGATGCCTTACCAATTCCTTTTATAACAACATTAATACTTTCTTATCTCTATCAGAAATCTCTCTGATGATAAACACCATCCCAGGTCGTATCTCAAGATATTTCCTCCAGTTGGAACACAGATCATTATCACTCTCAGTAGTATTACTAAATATCAACCTGTAACGAAAATGCTATTAAAACTTATCCACCATTTGTGACATTAAAACATATCCACTATATAGAACTGGTGTAGTCTGTAAGAACAATGTGTTAATTTAAATCCAAGACTGTGTATTTTTGAAACCTTTAACCAACTCCAACAGAAAATACCATTTCCATACCAGAACACTCACACAACTTTGGTCCCGGGTTAGTAAAGCATTTATGCAACTTCAGACTGGAAGCATTCCCATTACATTCAGTGGATGCCTTTAGAAGGCTAAAACCACACTTAGGCCGCGGCCGGTCCCTGCGGCCGGTCCCGGGGGCGGCGCCGGGCTCAGCGCGGGGCGGGAAGAGGAGCCGCCCGGCAGAGGTTCTCCCCTGGCAGCCGGGCCAGCCACGAGGCGAGTGGTTAGTGCGAGCGCGGTGCTGTCCTTCGCAACTCCTCGGGTGGTATTTAGTGACAGTGAGGTTATCTGCAGGGAGGCCTCGGGAAGCATGGGGTGAGGGGGCCTGCAGCAAGGCTAAAAGCGTACGAGAGAGGAAAGCAGGACAGACACTTGAGAAAGAGGTAATACAGAAATGTGGAAAATAGGGGAGGGGTAGGGCTGGGCAAGCTGATAGTCGCTGGAGATGCAAGACTATTCAAAATTACAGCTGTTGGCTTTAAAGGCGGTAAGACACAGTGGAAAATTTAATATCTCTGGTTTCTAAAGTAATTTCCTAATGAATGTGTTGGGCACCTGTTGGCAGTCAGTGATTAAGAGTAAGAGGTAACCTCCATGCCCCAGCCGGTCATTAACTACTAACAAATGCCTAACTACTGGATATAATTGCCACTTAAAGGAGGTTAAATTTTTCTGTACACATACAGTATATAACATTTATAATTCCATATAAAAACCCCAAGTTCTGCCAAGGTTACTGAGCCATTTATCATGTTCAACACAGAGGGACAGATCTAAATATCACTGAACTTCTTTTCATGAGCTTCCATCTAAATTTGATGTTAAAAAAATGTCATAATACATGTATATAATAGTTGTTTTGTTTTTTTTCATTGAGAAAGGCCACAAAATAAGTAACCCTAAAAGAAGATAGAAAATATTCACATTGAAGAAACATTTATCTTAAAATAATACTGGAGAGAAAAGAGGGGTAACGGAGCGGAGGACTCAACCCCAGCCTGCATTGTACAAAAGAGAGAACGTGATCCCAAGTCATTGCAACAAAGAGCAAGAAAAAAGAATAAGCTTATGGTTACATATCCACATACTGTTACACAGACTGACCTAAGGAGAAAATTTAAAGACAATGTGAAAGGTAATTACCATGCAGTGTGTTGTTGTAGGAAATTATTTCATGTAGAAATGTGTTGCAGCTTTTTTATATATTTTGTGAAATCATATTGTTTAATCACAGATTTAATTTGGAACAGCAAAGTACTGTCATAGCTGGAACCTGCTGCATCCACCAGAAACTGTCTGTAGCGTGTTGCACAGCAACATGCATATAACATAAAGAACTTCATCCTTTCTAGGATATGTCTTACACATTCCAACTTAGATATTTGTGGTCAAATGCATTTGTCTTCTGAGATCAAAAGTTTAAAATCATTCGATTCTCACCTTAAATTACAACCTTTGACACCTGAAGTCTTTAACTGAAAACCTACAGATTTTCATAAACATCAAGCCTACAGGGAACACAAAGCAAATCATACTTGTTTTGTCCACAGGGTGCAGAGCTTTTAGAATTATGTATGGGGCAGCTAAGAGAGTGTTTAGTTAAACTTGTCTTCAGAAGAGAATAAAAGTTTGACTTTTTTTTAGTACTATATTTCTGACTATGCATCTCTGGATGCTTTTGAGGCATCTGTATCTATCTCCTTCTGTTTGTAAATGTGAAGGACCATGAATTATGAAGGAAAAGAGCAATCAATTTTTATATCTAATTTTAATATCTAATTTTAAAAAATAATTAACAAAAGGAAGATTTACGCTAAAAGTGATTGGATAGAAAGTAAGAAAGTTCAAGATTGCTTGGTGATAAATATATTTAACAGGTTTCCATGTTCAGTTTGAAGATGATCTGATGCAGCTCACTACAAAAACACTGTAGTGTTGTCTACAATTACTTGAGATTGCGACAGATTTTCAAGAACAGTCAAAGAATTCACTCAAGCTAAGAAAGGCAAGATGATAGATTTTTTTTAAATCTTATTTGTGTTTGCCTGAAGACATGAGTCAGCAAGTGCCTGCAGTGTCTATTTTAATGTGTTTTTTGGTACACTCGACTTACTCCATGCTCAAGGCACACAACTGTTTCTTAGTGGGTGTATTTTGTATCATAAACCATCTGAAAATACAGTTGTCTTAGAGCTATGTTGGATTATAGTTTATATAAGCCAGTAGTTTCCACCCAGATAGTGAATTTTGAGAAGCTCTTAAAATTAAAGTGTTCTTCTGGGAGCTGAAAGTGGTGCTCCTGTACCAATTGACCATTGCTGATGAAGTGTGAAAACTGACATATTTTCCTGTGTCAGGAACATCTCATTTGCAAGACCAGGAAAGAGCAATAGGGAACAAGTATGTTTTCAAGTATGCATACTCGTATTCTTCAAGTATGCATTCATGATGATAGCAAATCATAATTCATTGTAGAATTGATGAGACGCAAAGTTATTGATGAGAAAATGTGTTGCAAGGTATTTCTTAGTGAATTTTTTAAGTCTCAGTAGTTACTGTGTCTGTACTGTTATATCCTGAATACAATATTATAAAACAAAGAAGCGTGTCAATGATATAATTTATTTCTACCAAGACGTACTTGTTGCTAAGCTTTGCTCAGGTTTTGGCAAGATAAATTCAAGTCATATTTTGCCTATAAAACTATTATCAAGTTTTTAGGCTGGGGGGAAAACGAAAAGGCCAATTCATGTCAAAAGATGATCATCTTTAATTTAAAATGTACTGTGTACGTTTTCAATCTTTGTGAAGTTTAAAAAAAATATTTACGCTATTTGATTCAATGCCTCCTAATTTTTTTGTTTATTCTTATTTTGTCTTACCTACTACTTTGTTGAAAAAGCCTCCCAATACTTATACATCTTTATTTTCTAGGTAGTATAAATCTTGTGTCCTCTCTAACTTAGCAAGAAGTTCTTTTGTGATATGCCTCTATCTTAATGATGTTCTTGTTCCAGTTGAAGTCACTGATTAATTCTTTTCCTTGTCTGATCTGATAGTACTTTCAGAACTAATCCAGTGTTTTTAATAATTAGAATACTGTGGTTATGGAAGATTCCTGCCAGTTCTTAGCTCTGAGGAATAATCCTTTATTTTAGCAGTATTATTTGCCCAAACACATACACCAATTAAGTATGAGAAAGGGTAAAATCAGGACCTCAATTAGGTGATGTCTAATCCTACTTTACCACCACTGCTTACTATATAGACACAGGCCCAAGCCCTTGGTGTGGAACATATTCATTTTTATATGGAGATCAATGCATATGAAAAGATCATTACCACTGTGAAGAGCCCCCCAAAAGTTAGCAAACACCAAAATTAAGGTTAGTGGTCCCTATGCAATTTAGTATCCCTTGGTGAGAATGTTGTAATCATGCTCTAGGACTGCGGCTCCTCTCACCACATGGGATAATCCCTGTGGATGAGACTGGTTTCCTCACCTTGAGCCCTATTCCAGTTATTCTCACCTTTCTCCAGACACAAATTTTACTGTCATCCACCTCCTTCTCCTCCAAGCTGTATCAAGGTATTCTAGCACTCAGCATCTCCTCCCTCCTTCCCCTCTCTGGATCCTCCCAGTTAGTGCTACCATCGTTTGCTCACCAGCTGCCATGGACCACTCAGCACAGGAGACCTGAGAGACCTACTGGACATCCTTGCCAGAGTGGTTGTGGCATTTTTTGCCACTCTTGCGGGTACTTCTTTCATTGCTCCTGCTATAGACTTCTTTACCCATTTGCCTCCTTTCCTGCAGGCTCAGCTCTTACCACTCTGCGTTCAACAGACATATTTTCCTTCACCCCCAACCTGGGTGTGGGGATGGGTCACTGCAAGCAGGAGGGAGAATGTCACTGCTTGTGGCTCTGCTGGTTGACTTTGACTGTGATACAGCTCAACTGCTCCGCAGCCCCAGAGAAGATGGAAAGGAGCCTGGGTTAGATAATGCCTGGCATGAACAGAGGAGTAAAATCTGAGAAACAGAGATTCTGTAAACAAATTTTTCAGAGGCAGGTAGCAACATTTGAACAAAATCCCTGATAAGGAAGTGATTCCTACCAAATTTTGAATCAGTTGCAAAAGAAGATGACATTATAATTTTTCCAAGGGTGGATGGTAAAATGTCACATGGTGGTTTGTTTTTGTAAATACTTAAAAACCCTTTTTTTCCTATTCTGATTTTCAAGGGTAGATGTTTGACAAGAATCTATGTCCCTTACATAAACAATCACAACATGAGTCATACATATACCCGTCATCACATTTTTGACTAAAGTGATTGAAGTTTGTGAAGTTAGCAAGTAATTGAAAATAAGGTTTTTAATGGACAGTATCAGATAATCCCCAAAGTGGTGCTGCAACCTAGGCAAAACACAGGAAGCGTTTATTCATTTGTGCAACTAGTGAAGCTTTCTCAAGTTCCCCATGTTTAGCTGCTAGTTGCTTAAGTTTGGGGAACAGAAGGCATGTTGTATACATTCTAATAGAAATTATCTTGAGGATTTGGAGGAGTCTTAAAGACAAATTCTTATTCAAGTCTAATGATACTTAATAATAACAGCTCTTGTTTAAGGTAGGTGATAATTCCACTTCATGAGAACATTTACCAATGACTGTCTCTTTTTAAGTCCTCTCATCATTGCTTTTAGTATTTCTTTGGCTGTGACACATGCATAGAAATCTAATTGTAGTTGTTGCTACCTTTCAGGCCATGTGAACTTGTTAACTGCTATGATCCAATAGGTGTATGCCATGTCCCCCTTTCTTTGGTAATTACCTATCAGCGGGTGCAATATCATGCTAGACAGTGTACTGTGTTGCAGCCTTTCACCTCCTTTCTAGCTCAATGGGTATATTCAGTGTTAGAAATACACGTGGCACCATGGTTCCCATCCACTTAGATGCAATTTTGGGGGAACATTTGGATTATCATGAACTCTGTAGCTGCTGGGGAAGCAGCATTAGTGTTAAATGATACCTACTAGCCAGGAATTATTCCTACTGAGGATAGAAAGCATTCTGGTAATGTCCCAGTTAAAAAGCTACTGTTACGGTCTCTTATCTTGCCACCTCAGAAGACTGCTAGCAATGTCAGCAGTAGCTGTATTCTCATTCACTTTGTAGTTAAAGAGAGGAAATTTGGTCAGTATACCAAGCATGGAATTTAGGCTGTTCTTCTGCCTGTTAATCAGACACACAACTTTCCTCTTAACATGAGCTCTCTGAAAGATTTTGCATTGTTCAACTAGGTTTGGTCATAAACAAGTTAATCATGTGCAGCCTGGACCACTGAGGGGATATGGACTAGCCCAACCATCAGGAGAAAAGACTACTCATTTGAATTCTTTCTGGGGGGTCCTGACAGCGATGGCAGGAAAAGTATCATAGAAATTAATAGGAGTGGATCTGTACAGGGAGAGCATTGGTGCCAAGAGCCTGATATCCAGACCAGAGGCATTTTGAGTGGGGGTTACTTAGGAAAAGTCCTAGTCCAGTCCCATGGAGAGAATAGCTGCACATTAGAGTACAGTACTGGTAGTCCTGTGGCAGTGTCTCTTTTCATTTCAACTGAGAAGTCATCAGGTTGCACACTCAGAAACTGCTCTGTCATGTGAACCAAGTAGGTAAGTTAGGATGATCAGGAGATTTGCTTCAAAACTGCACCCTTGATCCAAACAAAAATGCTAAACCAGATACACCCAAGATGCGTCAGCGTTAGAAGTACCTCGCTATCTTTAGATCACCTGTGCCTGAATGTCTACCTAAGGAAAGAGTGTAAAGAGCTATACCCATATCTGCCTCATTTCAAAGCAAGCTGGTTTCCTGTAGAAAAAGTCAAGGCAGTGCTTCCCAGCAGTATTTTTGACAGATTTTATGCTGTCTTGAAGTGGTAGTAGATGCGAGCAGAGAACAGGTACCCTGTACCATCTATTTATATACTGGAGCTCAAGTTATAGGCAGACTTTGGCCTAGTCCTTGATACCACTTCCAAATACAAGCTTACATGGAGCTAGATAAATGGATTTGAAAACTTGCTAAAAACATTTATGTCTTGTTTCTCATGCATGCAAATCTGGCCCATCTTTCTTAATTCACTAGAAAAAGTCATCTCAAAAAAGCATGCTAGGTAATTATGATCAAACTGTAATCCTCAAAATAATGTAAATTCCTCAGATATTAATTGAACAGGATTTTAAGAAGATTCAAAATACTTTCCATCATAGATGAAGTATATTTAATCTTTTATTGCAAAATCTCTTGTTTCTTAATGTCAGGTTAGAAGATACTCTAAAGACATTGAAAAGAAAGGCTAATGACTAATCTATGTAGGCTTATTTTCCTGAAATTTGCCATTGTGGGAGTACTAATATGTATAAACTGAAAGCATTGTTAACCACTGTTTATCTCTTTTCTAGGTAGTGTTAAATAAGCTGGTAATTAAAATCCATAGCCTATATTCCCACTGTAGTTTACATGAGGATTAGCAAAAGTGAAGCATTCTGCAAATAAAAAGCCAGGGCACTTTTACTCCCAAATGCAGAGATTTACAGACGAACCCACAGTAAAACTAGAAAATTATACCTGTGTTGGGCAAACTTGACATCTGTTTACACTGTGGTTTGGAAGAATCCTGTAATTCTAACCAGTTACCTTCTCTTTATCTAATCTCAGATATACAAGCAGACTCAGTAGCAAGATTTGGGAAGATTAAAAACTGAAGTGTATTAACTCTTCAGGTTATGCTGCTGTCAGAAGACAGCAGGACTTTTCCTGTCCTCTGCATATGTGAAGTCCAAAGATGCCAAGAAGTGTTATTATGAGCAGATATACACAATGAAGCTCAGTGAACCATACTTGAGCAGGACTTCTCAAAGGTTTGTGATTTTGGGGAGGATAGGAAAAACAAAAGGAAGAATAATGCCTCTTGTTTTGTAAATCCCCTGCTCCATAGTGGTGGGCCAAAATTTATACTGAATTATTTCCTATAAGCCACTACAAATAAAAGTAATGTAAATTACCTACTGGTCCAAATACTTATAAACCCTTGATTTGAATTGAAGGCAAAAGGTAAAAACCATTTCAGAGCCCACAAATGCTCTGAGATTGTATTCTACAAAATGAAAAAAAAGAGTGAATTGCAAATTTAGCAAAATTAGAAACAAAGAAAATCTCCTAATCACTCACACAGACAAGATAAGTGTTCTTACACAGCTTGATTCTAACTGAAACATGAATATTGAAAAATCTCTTCATCTTACAAAAAAACAAATCAAATTTAGTGTTAAATCAAGTAGGGAAAGATTAGTAATCCTTTTTAAAAATCAGTGCTTTGATTTCTTGTTCTTCCTACATATCTAATAATTTTTTTTAAATAATAGAAATTTTCAGAGGAAGGGACCTTTGTATAGTTATTTGAGATCTCCAGATAAAATACTCTATTTCATTATACATGTAGTTTATGATGAAGTGTTGCCCATTAAAGTTTGCCAGGCTTATTTCCCTAAAATTAATTAATAAATATCAGAAACCAAGTATTTAAAAAAGGATATCAAAGTCCAAGGTTGTAAAACATACTACTTCCATCTCTGCAACTGTTATTTTACAGTTGCAATTCTCCTTTTCACCATTAAATTTCATATTTGTTTCAATCAACTGACATGGAAAGTGAATCAAACCATAATGAGTAGAATGAGCCCAAGCATAAACTTTTCTTCCTGTACTCAGATGTATTCATCCCATTTCTGTTCTCTTTTGACTCCTATTAGGTAATTAACTCACGTGAGGGAGGAAAGAAAATACTGGAAAAGACAACATTTCTTTGTTTCATATCTTCATAACCATCCTGAATTAATGCCAGTTGGGACTGCAACTACAGAAGCTCTTCATTCACAGGAGAAAGGTTGGTACATATTTCATTCCATATAGTTCTATACAGCATAGTGTGGGAAAGATCAAGACAAAAAGAAGTAGAGGTTGATTATTTTACTGCTGTGGTCAACCATTCAGAACAGTGTTTCCAATTATGGGGTTTTTTTTCTTTCACTTTTACATGTAGAAGTTTTGAATAACAGATAGTAGAAAAAAAGCAACAGAAATGTGTAGGGATATATGCAAGTATTCCCCCATAAATGAGGCACCTCCTACCACCAGAGGCAGCTGTCTTACCTGAATCTGAAAAACTGCATGTATGGAGTACATTACCCTGTGTATGAAAAAGAAACAAAAAAATGCCATAATGGGCAACAATAAAATATCTTGACTCTTTTACTGTGTTTATGTGTACCATTCTTCTTCACATCACTGAAGTCAATAGAGAGAAAAGCTCCTGGCCTTTTGGACTACTGATCTAAATAAAAAAAAATTACAACATGATTCTTAAAAATGTCCCCAAGTATGTGGGTTAGATTAGCAACATCCTATCTACAGTGAGATTCGTCTTTGCTTCCTTTTATTTGGGATTGATACCTAAACATACAATGACATTTGAAGACTCAAGTTGTAAAAGGTAGGATTAGAACCCAGAGCCATTTTCTCAGATGGCAGTCAAATGAATTGGGAAAGGAAGAACCTGTTTACCTTATAAGAACCCTTTAACATCATGGCAGCATATAGGTGTTATTAAATTGCACTTACATCCATGTAGCTTTACGCTTCCAGAGCAAGCAAAGCCTGTTACTTTATCTTTCTTGCCAGTATTTTTTCCCACCTGTGTTTCATAATACATATCAATTGTTTATAGTCTTTTCTATTCATTTATTTCTGCTGCAGAATTTTATATTCAGTTCAGTGAAACATGTAAAATATATTATGACAACTGCAAAAGAGTATTAAAAACCTGAAATTTATCAATCTCTGGATAAGTATTCAATTTTTGTTTGACTAAGGGAAACACAGTAGGGAAAAAAATGAGAGGAAAGGCAATCAAAGCTGTCACACTCAGTTAAAGTAAATGAGGAGTCTGATAATTTTCTCTTCACTCACCTAACTGGAGATCTATTAATGTTTACATGTGACACACAGCTATGGTGTTTAGTTGGAGGACTATGCTTTTATACTGCATAAAGGAATCAGATTTCTCAGTAGACCTATTCAGTACTTCCTATTAATAAACACATTATCAGATTTAACAAAGGTTTGTAATGTAATTCTTCCATTTGCTACTGATAAGCTTTACAATTTCACTCAGATATATTCCATTTTTAAGTACTTTTCCAGATGTGGCACTTTTAACAGTATCTTTCATATATTAATTGTGACAAGTTCCATCAGCAATGGAGCTTTTACGCAGCAGTTTCCAGTAAGTTCTTCCCACTTGAGGACATGTAAAATAAAATGCACACAAATGCCTTTATAAATAAAACATCTACGCTCCAAACTCTGAAGTGAAACAGAAAACAAGCCAGTCTTACGTAGTGACTTCATTCCAATAATCTATGTTATGCTGACCATTGCTTTTGGGAAATAAGGCATTGTTAAACTAAGTTATAATACCTAATTATGTCTCCAAATTTGAAAGAAATCACTCATTGCCCTGATAGATTTTGAGCTAGAAATCATCCACAATAATGGATGATTTCTAGCAGTCAATATTCTGCAAGGATGGATGGATTTTGTTATGCAGTAAAATCTACCAGCCTGGGAAAATAGTATCAGGAGAGCAGTCCAGTGTACTGACCATCCAAGTCTCCTGTTCCTCTGGATCATCCATTGCTGAGGGTGGGGAAAGTGAAACAGGAAGCAAATGAGCAACTCAGATAAGAGTAGCACAGCTGAGTTTGATGGAGCCATAGAAAACAGTGTGTGAACCCCACTCACCCACCCCAGTACCCAGACACACACCCCACCAAGCCAACAGAGTCCCCAAGTACCCTGCAGTGCTCCTAACAGACTCCTGAGTGATGCAGTACCTCCCTAGTGAACCTAGTACCCCCTAAAGCCCCCTTATACTCTCCCAGTGCCCCCAGTAGCTCTGAGAGCCCTCCCAATAATATCTAGAGTCCTGCACTACCCTGAGTACCCAGTATCCTGCCAGAGCCCCCCAGTACCCACATGACTGCAGGGATTAAAGGCATAGTAGATACCAGTGCAGCCATTATGAGGAGGAAAGGGGGACCGAGACAAGAGGAAGCAAGCAACAGTATGGTTAGGGCAACCAGAAACACAATAGAAGGTAGCAACAAAGGGCAGAGAGAATGGTGGAAATAGGGATGGGGTGAGGAGTTGCAGCTCAGCTAGAAGGAAGACATGCTCAACTAACCCAGTGTCGTGGTTTAAACCCAGCCAGCAGCCCAACAGCACACAGCCACTCACTCACCCTCCACCACTCCAGGGAATGGGGGGAAACTGGAGGGGTAAAGGTAGGGAGATTCGTAGGTTAGGATAAAAACAATTTAATAGTTGAAATAAAAAATAATTATGATAACAGTAGTAATAATAGAAAATACAGACAAGTAATACACAGTGTGATTGCTCACCACCTGCTAACTGATGACCAGCCCATTCCCAGCTAGTGATCCTGGAGAAGAGAGAATCCTGGGACTGCAGTTGTAGAAAGAGAATGAGCTTCCCGATCAGCCCTCACCTATATACTGAGCATGACCTTGTAGGATATGGAATATTCCATTGGCTAGTTTGGGTCTGTTGCTTTGGCTCCGTTCTCTCCCAGCTTCTTGTGTACCTGCACACTAACAGGACATGGGAAGTTGAAAAGTCCTTGATTTCTTAGTTTCCTGGTTTGAGCCTAGAGGGCAACTGAGCACCACACAGCCACTTGCTCCCCGCTTCACCTTCAGGAATGGGAATGAGAAAATAAAGAAAAAGGCTCCAGAATTGAGACAAGAACAGGGAGGGGTGATCCACCCATTTCAGTCACGGGCAAAAGACAGACTCCTTAAGCAAAGAAAACATCAGTTTATTTCAAAGAGTAACAACAACAACACTTAGCAGACAGACTAGGACAGTGAGAAGCATTATCACATCTTAAAAACACCTTCCCCCCACCCCTCCCTTTTTCCCAGGCACAGCTTTGCTCCCCATTTCTCTACCTTCTACCCCTCAGTGGAGCAGGGTGGCAGGGGATAGGGGTTGCAGTCAGTCCACTGCTCCTTCCTCCTCAGGGGGAGGACGCCTTGCATTCTTCCCCTCCTCCAGCATGGGGTCCCTCTCACGGGAGACAGTCCTCCACGAAGCTGCTCCAACATGAGTCCTTCCATGGGATGCAACTCTTCCCAATATGCTCCAGCAAGGGTCCATTCTGCATGTTGCATCCTCCCAGCACCAAATTACAACAGCGGGGGCTTCCCACAGAGTCCTAGCCCTCTTCAGGCACAGCCACCTGCTCCAGCGTGGGGTCTTCCACGGGCTGTAGGTCAGCATCTGCTCCACTGTGGACCTCCACAGGCTGCAGGGCACATCCTGCCCTCACCACGGGCTGCAGGGGGTCTCTGCTCTGGCACACCTGCCCTCCTCCTCCTCCTTTCTTCCACTGACCTTGGTGTTTGCAGAGGTGTCTCCTTCACAACTCCTCCCAGGTTCCCCTTTTTGTTATCACAGAGGTGCGGTCACCATCACAAATTCTCTCACCCTTGGCCAGAAGTGGGTCCAACTTGGAGCTGGGGGATTTTCAAGAAGCTTCTCAGAGGGGCCACCCTGTAGCTCCTTCCCCTGCTACCAAAACTCCCTGCCAAACACACAAACTCGAAACGCTTAGCAACAACTAAAAACATTGGTATGTTTTTAACATTCTTCTCATATCATATCTCATACTGAATCCAAAACTATTCTAGCTACTATGAAGGAAAAAAAAAAAAATTAGCTCTATCCCAGCTGAAACCAGGACACCCAAAAAAGGGAATGGTGTGGGAAAAAAGCCTGTAAGATGAAAATGTCATCTCAGAATACACACAACCGTTTGAATAAATGGAAATCTTCCCAGAAACGAGTCATTTCCTTCCACATTTTTCACATGGCACTGACCATAATTTTTTTATTCAGTGGCACTCCTTAGGTGACCACCATAATACGCTTCAAAGCCCTGGTAACTCTCTTAGACGGTCTACTCGAAGTCCTTGAATACCTAAGAGCTCTTGGCTTTTTGATTGTTCTGGTTAAGGCTGAAGGTGTAGAGAATCCATTCACAAGCTTATAAGAGAAATTACTGTGCACATCTTAATAAATTACAGATTTATTTTTTTTTAATACATTTGTAGTCTATGCAACAGAGACAGAAGTTAATCTTTAGTAACAACTCGAAAGACAATTTTATGAAATTGAGAGCAGGAAGTAAGTCATCTTTCATCAGGTACAGTCTGGCTCTCCCTGTCTGACAGCGATATATTGATGCTTGTATTTCCATGAAAGGATCTTAAGATGCTAGTAGGAAAGCCAGCATTATTATCTGCAGATAAGTAACAGAAGCAAAAAAGGTAGCATGTCTTTTCCAAGCTCAGGGAATCAATCAGTGAAATAGCAGTCTGTTGCCAGGCCCCTGTATTACTCATAAAATCATCCTCGTCTTTTTGTGCCCAGAGAATTATATTCCTCCTTTCTCCTCCCAAATACTTTTTTCTCCCTATTTTTCACTCCTGCATTTTTCAGTTTCTCTTTCCTCACTTAACCTCTGACTTTTTCTGATGCTATAAAAAAGGACAAAAGGCGAGAGCCTACGACAACCAGCACATTCAAACTCTTGTCTTTGTCCAGCACTGCGTTTTAATTTGTGGGAGAGAGCAGCAGGAGAGATCATCTCATGCTGCGTCTATCACTGACATGCGAAGTCAGGAAAAACAGACACATTCCTGACTTCCTTGAGAGTGACTCCCTCACCCAGGATACAATTCCCTTAATGAAGCAGCCACACAATGCTAGGGACCCCAGTAACTTTTGTTGTAATATTTAAATTGTGTATGCATGGCAACATTTTTTTGCCAGCTCTGCTAGTAGTCACATTTATAGATGTGTTGGATTTTCAGGTTTTCAGTTTTTAAATTATCAGAATAAGAAAGCGTTCAGTCTTATTTATTTGTAAAAGTCCTATTTTTGGTCTCATTTTAGATTTAGTTTTTTTAACTTGAGAAGGAGGTATAATGTAGGAGATCCAACCATTAAAACTATGTAAAATACACTTCCATGTCTCTGAATGTTTCTGTATTCTTTCAGCTGTCCTGACTTCAAATTCCCCAAATCAAGATACAAAGCACATGAAAGGCTTGGCCTATTCTGCCTTTCACATCACTAAAATACAGTGCCATTCTTAGGATAAGCTTTGTTGCTGTCTGATAAATATTCAGAAAAGTCATTGAATGCAATTCAGCAAAATTCTGTAATCTTGCAATATAACTATTTATAAAACATCTGGTCAGCTCTGTTAAAATGGCCTTTTATGCAGTTTTCTCAGATAAAAAGAATCACTACTAAGGGTTAAGCATTATATTGTTATATATTACAGGCACAGAATAATTAGAAACTTTCCATTTTTTTTTTACTCCCTGTGGTAACAATAATGTTGCAGAAGCTGGTAGATGTAGAAGGAACACCAGAAAAGTAAGAAGCAGTGTAGAGTCCTGTAAAGACTGCAAGGTCTGTGCCCTGCCTATGCTCAGTGAGAGTTAAATGATGTAATTTATATGGAAAATGCTGCTGGGTTTCAGCTGGATCAGTATAATTTGCATAAAGCAAACTTAAGCAAGACACAAAGATTTGAATTCAGCTGAATTATAATTTATTGCAGACATTATCAAGATAATCTTTCTTTAAGTTTTTATTTTAAAGCACCCCCAAAAAATTAGGAAATTAGCCACTAATAAACTGACCCTATGGTGAATCCTGACATTGTGTCTCGGGGTTGAGCTGCCATGACTTAGCCTATGAACATTTGATCACTTTGAAAAACAGGTTTCCCACTGGGGTGGTTCTCACGGCATGCCTGCACACCAGCTCTTGCTGTCATCAAATCAAGGATTTCTGTCAGGCTGTACCGTGTAACTACATTGATTATGAGCTTGACATTTGAATCACACTTTTTTTTCCCAGACCTGTTTTGCAGCAGAGCTATTTTCAGGGCAATCTGCATTTGCAAACAGGATGAAATGGTGGAACAGGGGAACAGGTTGTAGTGCTGTTTGTTAAATGACCACAGAAGTACACCTGACACAAGCATTACTATTGGTCTTCCTCCTTCCATTCCGTAAGGCTGAAAAAAAGCCTTGGAATATTTTGAAGAGTGGTCATGAAAGTCAGTGTCATATTCTAGTCTCCTCTGGTAGCACACCCCAAATCACACCTCTAAGGTCATCCCAGGTCCCCTGCAGCACAGCCGTTTTCAGGGCAGCCTGCCTACTTGGAGCTGAAGCAAGGACAGCTGTAAAGTCTGAACCACGTTTTTGCCTCCGTCAAGTATGGCCTGATGAGCCAGACCCAAAGAACAGCCTCACTGGGCACTTTTGTATTTCTCCCGTGGAGGCCGGAGGACAGGTCAAACACGTGCCCTTATTTTTCTCCCCGTTTCACTCCCTGCTTGAGGGGAAGAAACCCCAGCTGCGGGTTGCCAGCAGTGTCCTCAGGTGGCAGACCTGGAGGGAGGTTCCCGGGCTGCCCCAGGGCCTGGCAGCGCCGCTCTCAGGGGTGCTACCGGCAACCGCAGCCCCCTTCTCGGAGCTGCCGCCCGAAGCAGGCGGGACGCCCGCCCCGGGAGCTGTTCCTGCGTGGGGGCCCG